CACACATACACACACACACACATACACACATACACACACACACACACACACACACACACACACACACACACACACACACACACACACACACACACACACACACACACACACACACACACACACACACACACACACACACACACACACACACACACACACACACACACGTAATGAATGATACTCTTGGGGTTCCAAACTCAACAAAAACCTACTAAATCTTGCTATTCAAAATAGCTACCGAAAGCAGGTTTAGAGTCCATACTGTTGTAAGCATCGTGTACGACACTTAAACCCAGTCATCAGCAACATGTGCGCCGGTGTAGCTCGCGCTGACCATCACAACATCTTCTCTAGAGTAATGTTATTATGCTCGCTAGTCACCCAACCTGTCCTCTTAAAAATAACGTCGCTTTTGGCCGTTTGCCCGAATGGCTGAAAGTGGATGTAATTTGAAAATGAAAAAAAATGAAAATAAATTTTGGATTTTTTTCAACAACATTAAGTTAAGGGTCCGCTGGTAGGTTAGGTGGGCAGGAAATTCTCATAAAGTTTCAAAACGTTATGAAAAAGTTAATTGAAAGTTTCCTCTCCTAACCTATCCGAGTAAGCCGGATAGATAACCACTTTTCCTATCACCGAGGCAGATAACACCTCTCAACATCCTCGCGTCAACACGCTCCACCAAGAAACTAATCCCAATCCCAACCCCCATACTCAACTTGCTGCTAAATCAAGCACCTAAGAACTGAAAGCAACATCACACAGGCCCGTACACTGATGGTTCTCTCAAACCGGCTAATTGGAGAGCAGGAAGTTCTGTCGTGTACCTGAGCGCAACGACAAGGTAATTGATGCATGTAAGAGTCGATAATTGAGTAACTATGATGAAAATTAAACTGTTGGATATTATTGTATAGTTCAATATTACTCAAAATAATGCAGTCGAGAACTTAATCATCTGTGAGAATAAAGTGTGTGTGTGTGTGTGTGTGTGTGTGTGTGTGTGTGTGTGTGTGTGTGTGTGTGTGTGTGTGTGTGTGTGTGTGTGTGTGTGTGTGTAAATCACGAAAAATTTAACACGTGATCAATAATGAGACAATGACAGACCACGAAGAAGGATTAAGACAGGAATTTCCATAAAATTTCATATTATATATATATATATATATATATATATATATATATATATATATATATATATATATATATATATATATATATATATATATATATATAGTTACTGTACAGGTTAACGACAAACATTGCTGCTACCTTAAAATAGTCAATGTTGCAAATTATGTAATTTTTTAAAATTAGGTATTATTTCAGTGGTAAACTGCCGCTTACAGGATGAGTTTGTGGTCCACAATAAACTGGCCGCGACCTAAAGGGCGAATGGTCTGGGGTACGGGACGTACATAGGCTGGTCGGGGTCGGTCTTCATGGTCCTCTTAAAAAGGAGGTGGCGGTAATAGTGAAATGTGGCTGGCGGAGTCCCTAGAGTTCTTGATCCAGTAAGCTTTGTGTTTTGTTTGTAGCTGGCTATGTAAACCGTCACATAGTCTATAGCAGCTGCATTAATACATATGTTTTGATATTTAGACCTAAATATTATACTAATTATAAAAACGCGAATTCAGTATTGAATTTTCCGAGACAGGGACAGATAGAGGGGAGGCAGGGGATAGAGAGTTGAGGGGAGGGTGCTTAGGGGGTGGGGAGATAGGGGAAAAAGAGGGGGTATAGGTAAAGAGAGATGAGAAACGGGAATGAGAGGGATAGGGGGAAGGGAAGAGTGAAGGGAGTAGGAGATAGACCTGGGCGCTGCCGGGTACTCCCTTACTATGATATATTCTAGTAAGTAATGTGCCTACGCGCGCCTACGGGGAGCTATCTCTATCTCTTAGGTCTTGCCACACTGATAAAGTAAATGGTACATTTATGCTTCTCTATGATACGATGACACACTGTTGTAATAGCTCTTGATATGATCTCAACAGAGGTGGCTTCCACGATCTCTGCTTCAGGCTCATATCCCCTTGTCTATCACCCGCTCTTGATATATTTTATCATATCTCTGCCTCATTTTCCTCTCCAGTTTCCAGCTGTGCTTCCTCCGTCTTTTTCTCGCAATCGGTAAAGACGGAATTTCCATTGCCTTGTGTGTGTGTTTACTAGTTGTGTGTTTACTAGTTGTGTTTTTGCGGGGGTTGAGCTTTGCTCTTTCGGCCCGCCTCTCAACTGTCAATCAACTGTTTACTAACTACTAACTTACTATTTTTTTTTTCCCACACCACACACCACACACACACACACACACACACACACCCCAGGAAGCAGCCCGTGACAGCTGACTAACTCCCAGGTACCTATTTACTGCTAGGTAACAGGGGCACTTAGGGTGAAAGAAACTTTGCCCATTTGTTTCTGCCTCGTGCGGGAATCGAACCCGCGCCACAGAATTACGAGTCCTGCGCGCTATCCACCAGGCTACGAGGCC